AGCAGATTAGTCTTTATACCAAAATACTTACATTGTAGTGGTCATAGCATGAGCATGGCCTTGCAGGGCTTTGGCTGGGGTGAATCTCACTGAGGAGAGAAAGAGAGGTTTTCAGAGGCCGCTTGAGGTGATAATACATAAGGATTTAAAGCAGTGAAAGTCAATTCTGGCTCCAGCAGGAAGAATACCTGTGTCATGATTGGAATGAAAAGGTGTAAAACATTAGAAAAAAAATACTTCAAATTCTTGTCAAAGGCAGAGCAGACAGACTGCAAAGGCATTTTTTTTTCTATTTGTGGCATTAATAGACTTTCTAAGGTACATCTTTTCTTCCTGATAAGAGCACCTCTCACTTTACCTCTCCAACCTTCTGCAGTTCATGCATGAGAAAAGCTAATTCTGGCACTGAAGGAAGTCCCCTTACAGTGAAATCACATTGTTATTTTTGGTTCCGATTGTTTTTTCACCATTTAAAATCCAACCTTCAATTCTCTTCTAGGCATTTTTCACAATGAAAATGTTTCCTCTCTGACTGATTTATGTGTTGCTTTATTTTCACTGGCAATGCTCTTCGTTGTAAAGCTCTCTTCTACTCGTTGTGGTGCTAAAACAGAGCAGCAAGGCGATACATTTTTACAGTGTAACTTCACACAGGCCAGTGAGCACATCTATTAATACACTGATACACTGATATGTGAGACCAACACAAACACAGCATGCAGCAGCACGGACAAGCTTACATGTATGTGTGTGTTCATGCCAGGAACCTTGTGTTCAGTTTGTGTGTAATAAGGTGATCATTTGCAAACCAATCTGTAAATGTGTACTCAATTTGTCGATGTGTAGAAGAATCTCTCAAAGTGTACAATCTGTTTATGTCTATGTGTGTGTGTGTGTGTGTGTGTGTGTGTGTACGTGTGTCAGTGCACATTAGCCACTGGAAACAAAAACAGACTGGACCAGAGATCGTATGTCACCACCCCCAGGTGTTCAAAACAAAGCTTCAGCATCAATAGTACCTGGGACTAGTAATGATCTGTCATTACTCTCCGCAGCGCTCTGTGTAATCACTTATCTGTAAATACAGGCAGATAGAAATGTTTTCTATGTTAAAGGTGGGGCCAGTCATTCTGCATAAAGATAGTTGATTATCTCTTTCTCAGGTAGTAAAATCCAAAGCGTCACATCTGACAGCTGGGGAGCATGAATGGCACCCATTTACCATAACCCAAAGCGTTGGTATTGACAACTTGCGAAAGAAACTTTTTCCCCCACGTAATGTGAATCTTTGAATGGACTGGAAATGTTTACCTTGTATTTTTAAATAGCCTCAAATGACAGTAGAAGGTTTCACACCCAATTTAATTTGCATGTTAGATGGAAATAAGCAGCAACCGAAGATCCTTATTTGCACAAAAAACAAATGTTTAAATGGTTTCATTTTCATATCATGATATTAATGATATTTTGATTTAATGCATTTTAACATTGATGCAAAAAAGAGGAAATCCAGCATTTCCACAAAGAAATCCTGCTCACTGATTTGAACCACTGAGGTTTCAGAGTATGAAGAGTTAACACAATCTCTGACTAATTTACATCACTTAGTAAGCAAGTGGTGAGACTCTACAGAAATGATTTTATATGAACTGTCTTCTCATAACAGTGAGGTTGAGTTAGGGTTTAAAGCTTAACCAGAGTCAACTGTTGGTTTACCAGATTTTTATGATGCAAAACCACAGAGCCATAACATTAGAATAATAATATGCATCCATTACTACGAGCTCCAGTCTCTGCGCATAAAGTGCTTAGCTCACTGTCAACAAAACTGCCCTGGGTCAGCCAATGGATGCTCCAAAGTCACCCAGGATGAGAGACCAATCTCCAGGGAGGATATGAACAAAAAAGAGGAAACTAACAGCAGCCAAACATTCAATCAATGAAGCCTTTGTTGTCTTATAAAAACAGACGTCAGTTCTGACAAGTTGTTGAAAACCACTGATGCATATTAAGGTGAACACACAGGTAAAACCAGACCTCACTAAAAGAAGCAGCAACAATGTATTATTCCTCTCTTCCTTTTGTAAAGTTGCCATGTGTTTTCCCCTGCTTCCTTATCCTCTTTGGAAACAATTAGTCTCGATCAAGAAAAATCTGAAACTATTTTCCACATGTAAAGGAAGCTCTGCCCCTCTGCTCCTCGTCCTCCGAGGACTCCACCTCGACCAACTATTCATCCTGGTGTGACTCACTCCCTGACAGTCTGAAGCTGCTCTGAATGGAGGCGCGCTGGGGCTTGTCTCTCTCCCCCCCCCCCCNNNNTACAGGAGCTACAGCACGTTGTTCCCTTCATAAGAAAAGTGGTTAAATAGCCATTTACAGTGGTTATTCTCCTCCTGACACTTTTCCCAGGATGAAAAGTGCATCACGAACAAGAGAGAACAATATAATAAACTGTAAGCATATTAAAACTATATATCTCTCAAAGGATAGAGAATAGAAAAGTTCAAACTCACCAACAGTCAATGCACTGCACGTTCCCACCGGGAAAAACATGAATAAAGTATCTATATACGTCTAGTCTAGGCGAGTCTAAATGGAATAGTTGTACAACAGTACAGTATTACAGCACAATTGTAAAGAGCTATAAGTTTGGTCCCGAAATGACAGAAAACCCCACAAAATAAATCAGGAGTGAAAAACATTCAAGCTGTCAGTTTGACACATGTGGGTGAGTAATTCCCCACCTCTGTGTGGAGAGAAAGGGGGTCTGAAAGGTCACTGGTTCCGACCGCAAAGAAATATCATAATTTGATTAACAAAGGCGTAAAAGGTGAGAATTAGTAACAATGAGAGCGGTTCCTTACGTGGAAAAAGAACTCTTGCGGTTTCGTGTCCAGGAGTCATTCAGGGGAAGTTTAAAATCCTCAGTGAAGATCTGTCAGAGTTGCCTTTCCATGGTTGAGTCTGAGTTTGATTCCTCAAACAGAAACGCGTTTTCTCTCTCTGTCTCTCTCTCTCACACACACACCGACACACACACGCACACACCGCAGCTGGCTGACTGACGTGAGCACCAGCTGAGCCTCCCGGCGTGAAGAAACGAGACTGAACACCGGAGCTGGGACAGAGGAGGGAGAGGCTCTGACAGACACAGCAGCGGCCAGCCCACCGTGAGGCGTTCACGAACACCTCCGGAAATCCTACTACTTTGGTTGTGTACATAAGCCTACTTCAAACAACCATTTGTTTGGGAATAAAAAGCTGAAACAACACAGAGTGGTGGAATGTAATAAGTAGCCTACTGTACTTCAGTACACTGGTACTGTAGGTCAATACTTTATACTTCCACCCCACTACAAATATTTAGGGCTACACAAATAATCCAAATATTATTGAAACTGCAATATCCAAATTACAGAAGCTGCAGTTTTTTGTGGGTGACAAAACAGCATTATGATGCCCTGGCCTACAAACCGTGTTCTCCAGATGTGAGAAAACATGTAACAAAAGTCACGTCATCATGAATTTTAATGTTCTTTTAGTTACATTGAAAATTATTATGCAAAAATGATCATCAGGCGACTTTTATCTTTCATCCATAACTAGTAACTCTGCAGATTGAGACTCTTTACATAAAAATCATCTTATGAACTAGGATGCAATGTGATAAAATATTCAACATGATAGAAAATAGTCGCTCAGCATCAACCAACCACAAAACCTATATTTTGATTATGTGTCAGCAGCAACATTAATATAAACATATTGTATTTTATAGCATCATATAATTAGCTGACAGAAGTTTGCAGCTTTATGTAAGTACTTTACTCAAATTTTTGCTACTTCTACAATGGAAACTGGTAATGAATGTTGGCTGGTTTTCATAGTTTTCTAAAAAATTAGAATATTATAATATGTTTATCCATCCATCTATCCACAGGGGTGACACCACAGTGGGCGAGTGGATGCATACACCCTGGTTGCCAGTCTATAGGGCTAACACATGACAGAACGTCCTACTTGTAGCTTTGTTTGTTTTTAGCTGTCACCAAGGGTGTAGCTTAAAATGTTGTTCCCTAAACATGCAAAATATCTTCCCATCTTGATTTATGGTTCTCAAGCTGCATTTTTACAAATAAGTGAGTCTGCAGCTGTGCACATTAATCTGTAGTGGTTACTCTGCTGGTAATGAATGAAGAAATACCCCAAACAACTATGAAATGTCACAACATTTCAGCTTTCTTTTCTTAACAAGAGATTATTTCTTTTATTTTAATTTGAGTATTCATTATTCAAAGCTATAACAGTACACAACTTCCCAGGATTCCGAGCAATACTTTGAGGTTTGACAGTGTTTTGTTAATTATTATATGTCCAAAAATAGGTCAAATTACATTGTGTGTAAATGTGCTGTTTGCTTATCTTTTGGTTCACAGTGGTATTGGGGATTGCCTCAGCCGCTTATCATGAGCTGTAAGTCATGATAAATACACTGCTGGCACCGTGAAGACCAACACGATACTAAACTTTAATCAGCCCAACTTCTCTGTCTTCCTCTGAATATCACTCCCTTTTGCTTTCTGTATCTCTTCCTTCGAAGAAAAAACTTCTAGGGAACTACAGAACTGCCACTGTCTGTTAAAAACCACTCACAGATATTCCAAAATGTCGGTCATACACACACGTCTTGAATTTTATTTGTATGAAACAGGAGTCAACAGACTGCAGTGGAACGGTGGACAAACAGAGGTGCAAACAGGCGTCTGCTGAGAAATTCTTTCTAAAAAGCCCACTGTTTTAGTCCTGGAAAAAAATCTCTGTCCAGATGTGGATCCTTGGCCACACCGCTAAGTCAACCTACTTTTCCAAATGCAAACAGACGGTCCAGTCAATAATCAGTTATTTGAGTTTATTTGAATGGAAAGTATGTCTGTGTGGTTATTAACTACACAGGGAATTCCACATAGAAGAGTGAATAGTGAATGATTTTGTTGTCCTGGTAATGTAGCTTGATATTTGTGTGTCATATTTATATTATACAGTCCATGTTTCCCAAACTTTTAACTTCCATGACACATCAGTTTTAAAATCCAGAACATACTGTATTACTGTAGTGCTGCCTGGTGTCTATACAATTTTGTCCTTCAGATTATAGCTTTAATTTTCATGTGTTGAGCAGAAACAGAGGTGAAACTCAGTATTTTAGAGGAAAAAGATGGTTTGTTTCAATGGAAAACACAACTGATTATTACGATTACTGTCAGTAAGATGAGAGTGAAGGTGGACATGGATAAATAGGGCATCATTTGTGCTTACAGCTTATCAGTGTTTCACACAGGCTTAATATTTACAGGTGGTGTTTGATTTGCGAGCAGCAAACTAAAAAATGATTGCAAAGACTTTAGAATCCATTTGCACTGTGAACCACAATTATATATAGATTCTTTTAAGAGAGAAAAGAAATTACAAAAAGATTAGCCAATCAATGGATGTGCTGTTTGAAAGAATGTAATGTATTTACAGTTCTAATGACTGCCATGTCACAAATGGACCACAGCACATTTACACATCTATTTAACGAGGAAGAATCATTACATTTACAAATGCTTGTTTACTGCTGTTTGTTTTCTTGTGTTTTGCACAGTCTACTAGCTCTCTTTCTTCGCTCATGATTATAACGAAGGTTCCCAACACATCTGGCTGCTTGTTTTCTGTGGATAGCTGTCTGCATGGGTGTAATGGGATTAAATATAATATAATACAGCAGTAAGTCACTGGCTGCCAGACAGATCAGAGCCTTGTACATTTGTGGAATTATGGAAAATTTCATATACGAGTATTTGCAACAATGATCGTTTGAATAAGTGAATATCATAGGGAGAAGCAAATGGCGGATCTATCAGCAAGCGTGAGTGGTAATTAAGTTGTTCATTTCACAATCCCACACCTTTGATTATACTTTCTTCTTTATTGGTATGCTGAGTCCGTTTTGGTTGTCAAAAGACACACAGTGTGTAAATGTGTGCGTTGTAGAGATACAAAATCAGTACATATGAGGTCCCCACGGTGTAAACCAATAATGTTAGGGATTAGACATTTCCAAATTATGACTAGGCTAAGGAAATTAATGTACACAGTACATTTCCCTTACAATCGCAGTACTGTAGTACTGTACACTGTGGGGAGAAAACTCCAGTCCTCCATGATAAACCATTTATTTTAGAGCTAGAGTTGGTTTTAGAGTTAAGGTTATAATAGTATCCAAGCATCGGGTTTATTGTATAGCAGCTGACAAGCAAGAAACACACGGTCCATAACAAGCTTAATGTATCTGGACATTCACACGCACATTTGCACATATGAGAGTTTCCAATTCATCTAACCTGCGTTCTTTTGGATTGTGAGAGGAAACCGTAGCCCCTGGTGGAAACCAAGGCACATATGGTGAAAACAAGCTAAAAAGACCTTCTTACTGGGTGGCAGATGTGCGAACCGCAAAGCCATTATACTGCCCAAGTTGGAATTATGACCAGGCTGAGGTTATGTTAAGGTTAGGCAAGGTTTGGGTAAGCCTTTAGCCTGCAATACAATGCCCTCAGTAGTACAGGGTTTTGTGTGTGAGTGAGCCGCAGCGAGAGACACTGCCGCAGTCACTATCAAACTTCATGACGTAGAAAGGATGCGTCATTGTGTGCTTGCATAAATTTGTCTGCGTGAAGGGGAGGCAGTTCATTTGCAAATGAATTTCCTTGATCTGCGTCATGATGGAGGCGCATCCCTTAAATTTTACAACCCACTGATTTTTATAGAGATGGATTTTGCTCATTACTGTCAGCAGCCTGGCACTACGCTGAATGTTGCTGTGACTGTTGGGGATTAGCAGCATCTCATTTCACACTCATCCTAAATCCCTTCAGGGGAGCAGAAATAGTTTTTAAAGAAAACAGTATACAAAAGTAAAGTGAGTCATGTTATTGCCACATGACTAATTGTTGCAAACATGTGCCAGAGGATAGATTGGTAATAAACTGATACTGACTGAAAATTTGGATTTATAATTTTAAAAAAAATGTATTCCAAAACATAACACATACTGGATGATTGAACATGACATGCTGATGAAAGAAGCAGAAAAACACTTTCTGATGGATGGGAGTTATTTGTAATAGCGGAAAAATGCAGACATTCTTATTCAGACATCTGCTTTCAATTCCTGTGTCTGAGAATAATTAAAATTCTTTCACAACACAGCATTGAAGTGATATTGAAATATGAGATTTATAGCCTACTGCATATAAAACAGAGTTAAAATGTAAGGTTCACTGATCAGACAAGAATGTGGGAGAGAGCGTGATCAGGGGAAACCACTGCAGCAGCAGCACCACCTACAGCATGCATTCAAAATGAGGAGATGACATCATTCCCACAAATGACATCAGCCCAACCTGTGTGCAAAAATGACATCATCCTCTTGGTATGTAATCCTCATGCAAAATAAAGAAATAAACAAGTAAATAAATAAGTAACAAACAATAGTCTACTTCCTTGATTCACTGTATTAAGGACACAGCATTATTTATTAATTTATTTATATGTTTTCACTTATTTCTTGTTCTACTCTATTGCTATCATTATTATTATTTTTAAGTATTAGAGTTGATACGATGCCAATTTCACTTATAACATGATGAATTGGGTGTTACAGACCCAGTATGGGCATAATTAATGACAGCCGGAGTCAAATTCCTTCTGAGTCAGCATACTCAGCCATTTTTGTACTATATTTGACAAATATCATCTATTGGACCCTTTAAATGCCAATAAACATATTTGAAAATACTATTTTACCCAGGTTCAAATAGTCATGGGTTAAATAGTCGTGTCACTGTCAGACCATCTCACCAACAGCAACATGACATCAGTTCATCATCATTATTGTCATGTCATCATTGCTTAAGGGGATGATTTGACAACAGAGCTAAACAGTATCATCACTGCGGTAGATAAGATAAGCTTTACACACTGTGTCAACATTATGAGTTCACTGTTACACCCTGCAGTGTAAAATGTGACTGCAAGTCCAACAGGGAAGCCGTTCATGAATAATTAATCAGA